ACTGGTGTGAACTCTGACTTAAAAGTGCTGGGGCTAATGTGCACTTAGAGCAGAGACAAGCTGCTCTGTGGAGGGGCCTGGAGTGGCAGAGAAGCAGTTGCACAGAAGGCAGCTTCCTTACAGCGGGTGTGCCATGTGTTCCTGGTAACTCCGCAAGCGTGGCACTGCCGCCTGGACTTGCTCTGTTCATCTCATCCCTCTCTGGCTTGTGACACTGCGGCGTCCTTGGCTAACTTCTAGGCCTAGAGAGGCCTGCTTCCACAGCACAAAAGGTGCTGAAAGAAAAAAGGAAGCACTGCCATATGCAGTTGTATTTGTAAGGAAGACTTCCATGGATGAAGTGCCTCTCACCGTGGATTCATTAGATCTGTTTAGTGCTCAGAAATAAGGATGATATGTGTTGACTGAAGGGAGTGAAAGTTCTTTGCAGATGGAAAATGAGTGTTTTACAGTAGCTTCGCAGTATAGTAAGAGAACGATGAAGTGAGCACTGCTCTCGTAGGTGAATGAGAATGTCAGGAAAAAAAAATTATGTTGAAATGCGAGCTTAGAAAGCCAAAATGCTTTGACATCCAAATAGCCCACAGCAAAGCAAAGCAATTTGAGAAAACATGGCATAGTTTTGGAGACTGGATATAATGCTAAAGCAGTAATTGCAAGTCTGAAATGCACGTGCTTTCAGTCTCTTACACATGGACATTCCCTTTTTGTGTAGGAAGCCAAAGTTTCACTGGTGGGTTTGTTGGTTTATGGCAGTGATTTTTAGTCATGGGTTGTGTAGGTTTCTAGGCAGTTCTGAAACTGAACTGGAGATCTTATGAGTAACTGTTGCTAATTCAATTATCACTGAAGTGTCTGAAGCACAGATTAAGTACAGAAATAGGATTTTCTTTCGTTCTGACTAGCTGAAAATCTTGCTTGACCAAATCGAAGAGGCTGTGGAAGACTTTGATGAATGTATCCGATTGCGACCCGATTCTGCCTTGGCTCAAGCACAGAAGTGTTTTGCTCTGGTAGGTAACATGCTGCTGTTTATCTGAGTGCTTTTTCTTTTTAAAGAGCTCTGGAAAACATACTGTATTTCTCTACTTTATTCCAATTTAATTGAAGAGTAGAACAACAACAAACATCTCTACCTTTTAACAATAAGGTAAGGAAGTAATGCAGGTTTCTCCCTTTGGAGTGAGGGTTTGCTGCTTTCATTTTGAAATGCTTGTTGTTCGAACAGTGGGTCATCTTTTCTGTTTTGTGGTAGAGGAGCACAAATCTTCACTCATTTATCACAAAATTGATTGTTGTGGAAAACGGTCAACTTCAAGAAATTGGAAACAAACTATTTCAAGCTAGTACCATGCCTCTGCATGTACGAATCTTCTGAGGACAGCTTTGTGTGGTGTGACCAAGGAGGAATTCTAGGCTTGGAATTTCTAGGCTTTTGAAATAGAGGGAGGCTATTGGCAACTATCAGGCCTTACAGCTTCCTTTTTTCATGCTCTCTCCTCTCTAAGTCCACTCTACCAGAGACTTGAACGCATGGTAGGTTCCTAAAAGCAGACTTGGCAGGATGATAGGCATGTCACTTCCTGGAATTTGTAATTGTTGTGATGCATGCATCTCTTGGGGGAAGTGGATAGAGGTCTGATGAGCCTTTTTTTATGTGTGGCGGTGTTTAATTTTTTTCCTTTTTTTCTTTTTTTTCCCCTCTCTCCTGAATAGTATCGCCAAGCTTATACAGGAAACAATCCTTTACCTGTGCAAGTAGCCATGAAAGGCTTTGAAGATGTCATAAAAAAATTTCCAAAGTGTGCCGAAGGCTATGCACTCTATGCTCAGGTACGTTTTTCTGTCTCTTAAAGAAGATGCTGCATTCTCTTGCACCTTTTCTCTTGGATTACATACATTTCTTCAAATAATATATGAAGATTTTTGAGAATAAGTTCTGAGATGATACATGCTGTCTGTAATAAGCTACCTGAATTTATGGGTATGGGTGTTCTAGGGTAGAGGAAGTAGAGGAGGGATTGGTGGAGCAGAATATAAGTGATGAGAGTTAAGGGTGGTTATTAGGAACCAGAAGTCTGGCATACACTTCCCCTTGAATACCTGTACGTGTGTGGCATCTCACTTGATGGATGTCAGGGATTCTCTAGGTAATTTGCGAGGCCAATGTGTGGAACTAGAGTAATGCTTTCATTCTGCTGCAAATGACATGTACTGGTCAAGCAGAGTTTAGTACAGATGTTCAGAGTACACTTGTAACAGAGACTGTGATTTCTTCTCTGAGAGAACATACTCCTGGTTCTAGTAAGAAGTACGAGATGTTCTGATTTTGATGTAGGCGATTTGGATGCGTTTCCTTTTGAAAGAAGTGTTCGTTTTCCAAATACAAGTTGAGACTTGCAGGTACAGACTTTTAGAAGGGCTTTTACTTGCAGTACACGTAGCATGTTGCTTGTGGATCTCCCGTTACCATCTCTGATGGTACTGTGATCGGCAGTTTGTGCACTTAAAGCCTAGCAGCTTGCTTCTAAAAAACCTCAGGTTTGAAACTTTGGTAACTGATGTGCCTGGCCTGCTATATGATGAGAGCGCCATATCCAATCTCATCGTCAGTATGGTTTTAATTGGAATCAGCCTGGCGCAGAGTGCATGTTTTGATTGCGTACTGACATACAGGTTTCTCTTTTGATGCAGGCACTAACCGATCAACAGCAGTTTGGCAAGGCTGATGAAATGTACGATAAATGCATCGACCTCGAGCCAGACAATGCCACCACGTATGTTCATAAAGGGTACGTGTTGACTTTGCAGTCCTTTTGGTCAAAGGCAGTTGGCGTATTTAGATGAGTCAACCAGAACTGAATGCTTGTGTTTAGAAGTTCAGCCAGGAGAACTTTGAAAACATCTTAATGCTGTTAAATGCATTTTTACAGTTTCTCTTGACTAAACTGTGAATAAGTTTCAGGAAAGTTTCATTAGTGTTCATTCCTGATTGAGTATCTACTTGAAATATACCTGACTTTTACTTTAGCCCTACCTTAATTTCAGCTTTGTACTGAAGTTTTCTCTTTTATAAAACAACTTGTAACAAGTCTTTTTGGGAGGAATTTACCTTTCTTTAGAGTCATTAAACTGGCAACATGGCTTATTGAAAGTGACTTTCACATACATGTTTTTAAAAGCTGTGAAGTTACTGTCTTACATGATCAGTATTTTGGGAGGAGTATGTGAAGTTTGTTCTAAATTTTCTTTCTCTTCTAGTTTACTTCAGCTCCAGTGGAAGCAAGATTTAGACAAAGGGTTAGAACTCATAAGCAAGGCCATTGAAATTGATAACAAATGTGATTTTGCATATGAAACCATGGGAACGATTGAAGTGCAAAGGTAATGTTGAATTGCAGTGTTAAGAGTTCTTAGTTACCTTTGGAACTACAGTAGTACTTTAGATGTCCTTATGGATCCTAAGTCTTTCTGAAGATCTTCTCCCCAGTGCTGTGCAAGGCCAGCTCTTACCCGAAGTCTTGATTTCTGTTATGTAACTTCTACGTAAAGCTTTCCTTTCTCTGTGGCATAATTCTGCTTTATGATCCGGCCAGTTTATGTCAATAATGTGAGCCCTTGTCTTTGCTGGTTTTCCTCTTAAGTATATGAACTCTTTTCAAGGGAGATGAGAGTTCATTTAGTTGTCGCAGCATTATCTGTGTAGTAAACTTGGTTCTGTGGGGCACATTATATCCCCCACTGCCACCCATGGGGGCTCTCAAGAGGAAGGCTGTTTAACTGTTGTCCTAGTTGCTTCGGCTTGGTAACAACTTCTCTCAGATTGCTTATCTTCATTCAAAGTTCTCATGGTTGTTCCTCCCGAAGTCCTTTCAAGCTGTTAGTAGTGAAGAGTGTAAGCCCTGAAGGAAAAAAGATGCTGTAGGGATTAAAAGGTTGCTTTGCCAGTCTTAATTGGACTACGTGTGGTTTATTTCAGAGGTAATCTGGATAAAGCCATTGAAATGTTCAACAAAGCTATCAACCTGGCCAAATCTGAAATGGAGATGGCCCACCTCTACTCGCTCTGTGATGCTGCCTATGCCCAGACAGAAGTTGCAAAGAAGTATGGATTGAAGCCACCAACATTGTAAAGGAACGAGGAGGAAATGACCTTCTAAAGTGAAGTTGCCCACTTCAGCCAGACCTAAAGACGCTGTTGCAGACTTTGTTGAATGGTGGAACTTAGTTTTTTCCCGTTCGTGGTGTTGTCGTTTGCTACATCTGCTAAATGTTTAGGTGTTGTGGGAGTGGTTGTTCAAGGAAGTACGCAGTGTTGCACCTTGTTCCTTCTGCAGCAAAAACCTTAAAGCGTGTTAAGGGAAATGAAGTTGCAGGGGAACAAAAGGAAGATGTTTTGGCCATGCAAATAAAAACTTCACACTGGTTCATTTTGGGTGATTATGTTGTGGGCGATTTTTGCTATATCAAACCATTACAGCATGTGGGGTTTTTTTTCTGTTGATTTTAAAGGTAATACTAGTCAATGCTGTAAAATAGGTTTCTTTTTTATATGCAATTAATCCTTGAGGGTTGATTTTAATTTTGCAAAAAGGAAAAAAATTAATTTTCAAACTGTTTAATAATAGAGATTTTTTTTTAAGTCAGTAGATGTGGAGAGAATCCCTGTAAATATATGCAAGCATGCACAATCTTCCCTTAAAGCCCCTCCTACCCTCTGCATAACTTACTTAGAAATAGTTCTGTGGCAGCTATTAGGGAATTAACTTGATAGTCCTTATCCTCACCCCAGAAAGCCTTAGCGTACTGTATAGGGGAGCTAGGAAAAAGGTTGGCTGGGGAAAGAGGTCAGGTAACACTGCTTCAGTGTAGGCTTTACGGGAAGAAAGGCTGTGTTCCTGTGCAGCAGTCCTTACTTGAATGTCACAGGAGATGGTTCAGAAGGGTTCAGAGGGACTTTCAAGAACAGAAAGCACTGCTGGGAGTAGAGCTGCCAAGGTAAGGTCATGCTTGCATATAATCTTTGTAATCTCTGACACTCTTGCTTTAAATGTAACAGCTAGTAGATGGTCTAAGTTCTTTTCAGTCTCTAGAGACTGCTGCGTTCTCATCTGCTCCTCGTAATAGCCCCTTTGCAGGACTCAGTGAGATAAGGAACAAAGCACAGGCTAAAACTTCAAATAATGGGTTTGGAATCTGTACTGGCTTCCTTGTTCTTCAGACCCCATCTTGTCCAAGATTACAAATACTGTAGAAAGGCAGCAACTGTTCTGCAAATAGCGGATCGGCAAATTATTAAATATTTGTATAAACCGTCTTCCTCTAGCTGGGGACTTCACAGAGCGCTCTCTTGCTTTGGGTTATCTCTCTGGTGTGGAAGTCAGTCAGTCCACCTTGCCTCTCCCCGGACTGGTGGGGCTGGATAAACCTCGTGCGAATACTTAACTGATGTAGCTTAATTTATGATACACTAATTTGGGCTTCTTTCCATTCTGAAATCACAGATTTGCTTGTGCTGAATTGTCTAATGTGTTTCATCTTTTAAAGAAATAACCATGCTGTGGTCAAACTGTCTTGTTCTCTAGTTGTGCCACCATGTAGCAGCAGCTTGTATTTTCAACTTGACCTTCCTTTCTCCCAGCAACTACAGTTGAGAATTCAAATGGTGGAGCATAGACATAAAGGTTTAATCATTCTATTTTAGCTAACTCAGTAGGTGATCTGAAATGACAGTGTTGGTGTAGAATTGAGGGTGTTGGAAAGTACTGGCAGCTTCTAAGGGCACTGCACATAACAAGTGTCAAATGTCTTCTGGAACTTCCAATCTCCGCATCAATTACCTGAGAACAAAAATATGCCAGACTGATGCGTTCTGTTCTCCTGAGGAGTTTTTATTCGCATGGCCTTATTTACATTGGCATTTTCTCCTCTTCACCCTACCTGTACCCCGTTCCTTACCTCACCCAATCAATTAAGGGAAAAAAGCATGTGCTGTCGAATACTAGCATTCCAAATCATCACAGACTTCTGCCTGTTCTTGAACTAGTTTGAAACTGCACTGACAGGATGCATTGTCTGTATTTTTTTTTTGTAAATGACGTATCACCTGTAAACTGAAAAAAATAAATATTACCTTCAAGTATCTCTCTCTGACATGTATAAGAACAGATTTTGATGAAAGTGTTCTCTGTAGTGGTGCTCTCTGTGCTTATTTGAGGTTGCTCTGAATGTAGGAAGAACTAATGATGACTGAGTCCTTGTCATCTTGTCTCACTTTAACTTGTAAGGAAAAAGGAGGAAGGACACATGGAATCAACAAGTCTTATCTCTGATTGCTTCCATCACCCACAGAGGTATGGTCTTGAGAGCTGAAGATTACAGGGGAGAGGAAATCTGACCAGGAAAGCTGGGAATCTGAGTAGCTGACACCCTGTTAATGTGTGTATGCAGGTGGATCCCTTTAGTGAAAAGGTTTTTGTTTGTTTGTTTGTTTTTTAATGGCTGAAGTTTTGCTTTAAGCCAGGTGTGCCCCTGAACTTTGAGAAAAGCTTTTTTAGTAGAGATTGAGAGCTGAAGTGAAACAACTATTACTGCTATTTAAAAAAAGTAATCGTGTTGAAATAATGTAGGAAGTTTGTACTGAAGACTTGGATAAACCTGGTGTATCCTAGAGACTGTACTACACCTAGTTGTCTTGCATCTTGATTCTGATCATGTAAAATCCCTGTTGTTCACGTTAAAGTTTGCCAAAACGGAGATTAGAAGTGGTGACTTGAATGACTAGGATGCAATTGCAGATGGAAGAGGGAACTAACACATACTGAGGAGCTGTACTGGAACTTACTCTGGAACTATTAAGAACAGCTCAGATGCAGCCTTAGGCTGCCCAGCTGCAGTGGTAGTAACGCTGCCTGACACAACAGGCATTACTGTGTTTTCTGCCGTAAAAAGAATTCAGACTCTTGCAGGCTGAAGTTGGAAAGCTTGAACCAGCTCTCTGAAAGAGGCTGTTACTCACTGGTTTTCTATCCTTACAGAACACTGGTGCATATGTATAATATGGATACTTGAAGTGCCTGTTTTCTACCAACACGGAGATGGAGTGTTGATTGCTTTAAGTATTATCTAGCTGAGAACTGATCGTGTACTTTTTTCATTGCAACCTCTGAAAAACTCACAGTCCCTTTTGTATCACTGCTGAGTGGATCGCACTGGAGACCCCTAAAACATCCTCCTAAAGCAAGGTGCCTAGAAGTTGTCCTGACAGCCTGAGGAGGACTGAGCTCACACCACCCCTGCAGCAGAGCTCACCGAAGTAGCTCGCTACAGATTTTCATCTGTTTTCTCCGTTTGGGATTCCAGGGGAAGAGGGTCCAGGCCACGGGTTCTGTTGCCAACTGCACTTTGCATTTTTAAAGTTTGGTCAGCCCATGAGAATCCTGCACTACTTTAATGCTCCAAAGGTAGCGTTTAGTTCCTGCTCTGCTGCATGTTAAACCAGTGTAGAGAGGGGAGGGGAAGATGGATGGAGTAGTTTAGAAAAACCGATGTATAATAGTTGCTGTGATTTAGAAATTGGAGCCAGTGACGGCCACCATGGATGCTGATTTTTGAGTATGTGGGAGGCACTAATCTAATTGCAGGAGACTTGATTCAAATGGTAAATTGTTAATTTTTTTTTTATATTTATTTTTCAACAAATAAATTTTCATTTCACCTTATGCTCTGTGGCTTGTTTCTTAAGAGTTCCAGTGCAGTATGCACAGTGAAATGCTGTGAAAAGTACAGACCCAAAAATGCCTGCTGCAGTAGATAACGCCACTGAGTGGAACGGTGGGGCCTGGCTTGGTTTGGCTTAATTTAACCATTAATTTTCCTCTCTAAAACACACACCTAGCTCATTCCAGAGAATCCAAAAGAATGTTAAAAATGAGAGCGCAGCTGTGGGAAGAGAAGGGCCGAACATGAATAAAAAGGTAAGGTGGTTTTGGGGGAAACTGGTGGTTAGCTAGAAGGCAACAAAACCTTCTCTCTCCCCGCTCCCGTTTTTGTATTTTCAAGTCTCCTTTAGCCTTATTCCTTTATCATTTTTGCTGCTGGAAAACTAAAAGCCTAGTGGTAAAGCCTGGATAGTTACAGTTGCTTCTTTTTTTCATCCCAAGGAATAACAAAAAAAAAGCCATTTGCAAATTACCACCTTTTTACATGAGAAGTACCAAGGTGTCTTCCTTCTAAGAAAAATGACCAACAAAATCCTGGGCTGGTTTTAAATACTTTAAAGCCATCTTTAATGATGAGTTAGTTAGTGTCTTCAGCAAGGGCAACGAAGTAGGGAGTATTTCCTGTGCAGCTGATGGCAGCTGGCCTTCAGCAGCAGTAACACACTTAAAGCATCGGGCAATTCTAGTACCTGTCTTCTGGCAGGCTGGGGCAGAGACAGTCGGTGCAGCAAGTTTTCCAACCTTTTGACCTTTTCAGGTAAAGGCTGCCAGGCAGCAGAGTTAAAGCCCGTTGGTTCAGGCAGCACATAGAGCGAAGGTGTGGGGGTGATGTGACCTGCTTTAACAAAACCATAACTCGCATCACTCCAGAAATAAACAGGAACTGCAATAAGGAGAATTTAATACATGCATTCCAAGCAAAACCTGCTGCAGATTCTTCTTGTAGTAGTTCTGTCTGGCAGCTTCTTGCATTGTCCTCAAGTGGTACAGACCAGAGTTTGGCCTGTTTTGCTTAGTGTGTTAAATTCTAAGCCTTCCAAGTTAGTAGCTGGGCATTCAAGGAACTTCAAGGCACATACACCTAAGACAGAGGTGGAAGCAGCATGCTTCTAGATTATCTGATAACTCACTGAAAAATTGAAAACACCAAAGCTGACTTCAGAGGACTGCCAGAGAGAATAAGGTTCCCATTTCTATGTTCTGTAAAAAAGCCCCCAAAAGGTAAATAAAACATTGTGATGAATAAAAAGCAATGGTATTGATTTCACCTCTATCTTTATCCTAGCTGTAAAATACTGTAGGACACTAAAGTATGAGAGGAGATATAAAAGTTGTATTTGAATCAATTTTAGAATTACACCACCAAGTCGTTCTTCTGAAGATGAAAGCAAGAGCCATTGTGCCAACTTCACTTTTTCATCTCTATGTCATAGAGATCACAACGCTTCTGGCTTAAAATAGGAATTTGCTGACGTATTTCTGTGAGTTTCTTCAGATCTGCAGGGGAGGAAGAGCGATCTATTAGAACAGCAGTCAAAAAGGAAAGCTCCTGACTTGCTCTGAGGGAAGACACAGAAAAGAGCAGCTTTCACGGCGAACGGGTCTGTAGGGCACTGCAAGTGGGCAGCCAGGGCTGAAGGAAGCCTCAACTTCGCCCTCTCCTAAGGTGGCAGCTTCCTCACAAGCAGAGAAACTTGAAGAGCGTAGGCAAGTGCCGCTTGTCCTTGCTTTAATCTAGCAAAGGTGGAGAAGGGATGGGAACGCTGCGTCATCTGTAATCGCATGTGCAAGCCCACAGACTTCAAAAGCTGTTTCTCCTTAGACTCATGACCTGTGCTCAAGAAAGCAAGCAGGGAAGACGTTAAACATTTGACCCTTACCTATATCTGTGTATATAACTGTTTCCTCAGCCCCAGCTTGGGCTATGACTTCACCCCTGCAAAATTAAGCACATTTCTTGTCAGCATGAACACAGAGGTCTCGAGGCATCAGTCCAGTTGCTGCTGTTTGTACAAAAGGGAGTTGCTATCCTTCATGCCTACAGCTGTAAAGACAGGGCTGAACTAAAATAGCATCATAATTCATAACTCTGGCATGACAGAAATGGCTTCCAGGCTTTATACGTGGCACGTTTCACACGCGACGTACACAGAATTAAGTCTGTTTCCAAAGATCACGAATCATGGTAAGGGCAACTCTGAGAACCAGTGCGTTTGAGCATGCAATATACCTTAAGGGGAAAGAAACAACTTCACCGGGGACAGGTAGACACAGCAAAGACTAACGCTTTCTCCTTTCAGATCCTACTGGCTCTTAGTAGGACTATACTTCTACTCTGCATGAGCTGCTGAACATCGTTTATCCTGTCTCCCACTAGCTGCTCCGTCATTGCTTTCGTCATACAAAGTTAGAAGCTTAAGACATAGATAAAGCTTTTCTTACTTTGTAAATCATCTGGAAGAGAACTATCCATGGATTTATTTGAAAGAAAAATAACGGAAGCTTTTGTCACTTTCACCTCCTGTGCACCTGTGTGACTTCTGCTTAAGTCAGAATATGTCTCTTACCTAGCTGGGGACATTGTTCTTGTTCTTCCTTATGTCAAAGCAGTGTTGTTCTTCGAGGAGACAAAATAGTTTTGTGTAAGCTGTTTAAGATAGTTCAGTTCTGCACAGAGAATTACTGTAACTCATAGTATGTGATGGACTGAACTTCAGGGACAAGTTGAAAAGGTCAGCAGCTTAACTAATGCTGAACACTAGGACTAAGTAGCTTCTTTCCTGCCAAAAAAAAAAATCCAAACCAAAACATACTCTTAAACTAGTTCTAGTTTCTTTCTTGTTTTTCAGACAGTTTTAAGACAGATTTTGAGAACGCAGGCTTAAGTCCCAGGTGTTTTTTACCAAGAACGTACGACATTGTTAAGAGTAGATAGAAATACATGACTGAAATATGTCAAGTAAAATATTTTTTTTTAACAAACAAAAGATGGGTTTGATTTTTTTCCTTCTGAACTCACCATGGATTTACTACAGTGCTGTGTCCCCAGGCAACATAGGATGCTTTTTCATCTCTAGCAGGAGATACAGCAGCTACGTAGACTTGATTATCAACGGCTCTGTGTTCACAGAAAGATGGGTGGGGGGGAAGTGAGTAGAATTATTTTTTTTAATACCACCAATTAACTAAGCAGAAGAGAAAGAATTCACGCTGAAAAGCAAGCTATATATCCTCCCAAGGACTAGCCAAAATTGTAAATGATATGAAAGTCAGAGAAAGCAGAGCATGGAAAACACGTCTCTAGCACTAACTGCTTCTGAGTTAGTGGGTAGAATGAATTACATGCTCATTCAGTATGTAGCAGAGCTGATTGAAGGTGGCCAAATGAATAAATAACACTGCATTCAGGAATCTTGGGGTCCATTTCCATCTGTAATTAGAGCAGTTCTCAAATGGTTACTGGCTCTTCTGTCTAGAAGTTCATTTGTGAAAGGTTCTTACAGAGCAACAGGCAAAACGTCCTTGAAAGGGTGTAACTGCAGAGGGGCTGGCAGGGGTGAAGGATAAGCATTTCCTGCTTTTCTCCTTGACAGCAAAATCATTTTGTTGTCTCATGCAACACCTGAGGAATGGTGCAGCTCCAGTAGCAGAGTGGCCCTGCAGCACCACTTCTGATGCACAGCGTCATTTGGAACACAAGAGCTCAGTCCCACATGCTAAAACTCGCCCTGGAACTGGAGGATAAGCTGCTACTTTGTTCTTACCGTCCTCTTTGTAGCAGTTCCCAATGAGCAGGTCCTGTTGTTAGGTTAAAAGCCCCCGGATATATCAGCAGCTGGCACCCTTTGTTAGAAGAAAAATTAGAACTCAACCATCATTAAGAGGAAGGTGGTTTACCCTAGAGTGGTCCTTTACTTTGAGACTCAGGGTGAGGTTTCTTTCAGGACTTCCCAACCTGTGCCCAAATGGAACCAAATCGAGCCTGTCCGTGCACGACACAGCTGATTACTTATGCCAGCAAGGCTCTCCAGGTACTTTCCCAAGAGTGGGGACATACTCATCTCCATCATTCCATCAGCAAATGCACATCAGGAAAGGATTGTTACTTTTACTTTGTTTCTTTGTTACTTTACTCAAGGAGAGCAGACACTCATTTGAATAACAAAGTCTTGGCCACAAGAGGCATTTTCTGTTACTGGGTGAGTGTAAGAGTGCCTGATCACACAGATTGCCCAGCGTATGCCACCCTGAAACGGCCTTGCATAGTTCAGGCCTCAGGGCTAGCCATGCTCCATCAGGTGACCTGGCCTCACCTTTCTGTCCGTAGATTTGAGCCATCTCAGCAAATCTGATGTCATAGCAGATGCCCAGGCCCACTTTACAGTATGCTGTTCTCAAAACACAAGAGACAACAGTCATATCGCCATCACGAGCACGCAGAAGCAATCACAAAGCTCCCTGCAGCCACCCCGCAGCTGTTGTTTCACATGACTCTCAGGAACAAGAGGAGCTACATTTAAATGTGCTTCTTTATCTGTTACAAGCCTTGGCTATTTGTGGGGGAGAATGCACGCTTCGTGATGAGAGGAGTCATGTACTTTCTTACAGCACGCACATTGCAAGGAGGAAAAAGTGACCATGGGAGATGAGACTCTTTGGAGAGCTCAGTAAATACAACGTGTTAGTTTCTGGGGCAGGGGAGGAGTAAGTGCCTTGCTTTTTCACCTGATGTGGTTGATTCAAGAATGTTGGAATGGAATTACAGTTAATGGTATCCACCATTGTATCATCCTCACATGAAACAATGTGCCAGTGTAGCTGTTTGCTACATATATTCTTTCCCAAGCGGTGTTTTCTAAGAACCATTTTAAAGGTGTAACTGCTCTAAAAACATACAGAAAGTTCTCTTTAACAAATTAACAGGACAACTGTTTACTAAGGGAAGTGGCATCACCTATGCTTCAACCCTTTCAACCCTCTGTTCCAAGTGCATGGGTCACTTCTGAAGCTTTTAGAAAGGCAATGTGATTGCAAAAGGACAAATTTAAACTATATTTGCCATGGTTGCCAAATGCCTAATATAAATCTGATAGTCTAAAAATCCATTGCTGGGAAGGAAGAGGGGGCAAAGAACTCCAGAATAACTTGAGTGTTATTGTGGTAGAGCTCCTTAAAGAGAGGCCTTGTCTTATACTCACGAGTATCAAACATGGAGAAACTATTCCCTGGACTCAGTGTTTCAGACTCTTTGAACTGTATCTTCCCAGGAATATTAATGTCAAACAAATGAACCTGTAATTACAGTATGATTAATAATAATTAATTACAATTTCTCTGCTTGGTATTTGAGCCTCTTTCTATCAGGCACGTGTATTTTAGTTACAGTTATCTAGACTTGTCTTTTGTCAGGATCTCAACTAAACATTGCTTAAGATTGTGGGATCTCCTAAAGATGATTTAAAGCAGTTTTCTTCTTTACAGAAATAGAAATATACATGCATAAAGTTATGTGGGAAAAAAAAAAAAGGACTGGCCATTTTAAACACCACATGCAATTGCTGTGACCCAAGTAATGCACACATCAAACATTCACATTGCTTACCAAATAGAATGTCCTGTCCTTCCCCCATGCAGTAATAGAGAGTAGTTAAAAACAGCTAAAAATATAACTTTTTATTTTGTAGTATGGCTCTGTATCCTTTCCATGTAAAGAGTCCCTGCAAATAGCTAGATATCTTGATCTAACGAGTAATTTTGCAAAAGAAAGGATACATATAAAACATCTTGAATTTGTCAGGATGATTTTAAAGTATGTTGAAGCAGGTGAAGTTTTCCTCTTTGAGTCCCATTCCTGCAAAACTTCTCCAGAAAACACCTCTGCCAAGTCATACAGCTCCCATGACTTCAGCTACGCAGATGCCTCTTGGCCTCTGCAGACAGTCTTTATCCCTCTCTTGCAATGGAAGATTCCGCTCCTTCTCTGAGCTTCCGAATAATACAGCTGGTTTTACATTACTATTTGCTCACATTTACACAGTACGAGCCTGCACTCACTCTACAAACAGCTACTGGGCTTGCAGACTGGTGTGGTGTGATAAATGGAAGGAGAGTTGTCCTACAGAGACGATCTAATAATGTAACTAAGTGCAGAATCGGTTAACAGAATAAACTAAGACTGCACCCCAGAGGTATTTCGCACCACCTCATTTGTTCCAAGTAACCATGCATCCTCTGTTTTGTTTTTCCTCCAAAGAAATAAGCTGTTGTTCACTTTAGGAATGATACCTGTACGCATAATCAGATTAACAGAAACTACGCCCTATGGTTGTCAGTAGGAGGTAGTTCCCCAGAAGGCACGAAGCAACATCCACGTGGAAGACAACAACAAGCATCTACCACAAAGAGCAGACACAGCTTAACTGTGGAACTTGGACTTCGGTTGTCTGCACTAATCATACACACAGCACACAAAATACGCAAAGAACAGTATTTATGGTAACAGAACAACTAAATCCATTTGGAACCCGAGGGAAAGTCCTGATCCCACTGAAGTGGCACTATGTTTTAGACCTAGGCCAAGGTACACAGATGAGTTGGATCAGAATTTACTCTTTACCACTCTTCCCAGCATCTGGGAAAAGCCAGTTATGCCGTTTGCATTTTGTCATCCTTATCCAGAACAAATTTATGACCACTTTTGGAAGGTGTGTTTACATGTTCCAAGTAAAAATTACATGCCATTTTACTAAAAGTACACAGCTTATTATTAATGCAAGATCATCATCATCTTTAGGCACGGATGAAACCCTTTGTGCAACACTGCCGACAAACCTCTTAAGAGCGATATTCTGCCATCTTACCTTCCTGTGCTTTGCCAGCATGGCACCATCCGGCCCAAAGACTGTACATGTATTATACAGCTTTCCACCATCCTCTTCTGGAATGGATCCTTTGTAAAGACGAGAACAAAGATTTCCCCCACTGTATCATATGGGATTTTGATCCAACAACACTAACAGACACTGTCCATTTCCTCCCCCTCAATGAGATGGTCACTAAGAATAAACTACCTCCAATGAGATATATGCTGCACTCCTTCGCAAGTTCAGAGAGCTTTTTTGTTGATTCCCCAGGGATCTTCTCTGCATACTCCTTAAAGTACTGGGTTCCATATGGAGAATTAAAGCATTCCTAGAATTTGAAAGAAAAAAAAA